TTAAAGCAGCTTTTTTTTCCTACATTGAGACACCAGGAAAATAGCCTTCTCTACTCCTTTTCTCTACCTCGTTCTCCTTACATACAGCTCATTCTTTATATTATTAATTACACTACTTTCAAAGTGAAGTTTGCATTTCTTGTACTTAGTCCAGTGACATCTGCCCAGAGTGTATTTCACCTGGAAATGATTAAGGCCTCTTTCCACCAAAGCATTCTGGCCAACAAACATACCTTGAGATTTGATGTAAAAATTTCTTTTTTTTTTAAGTAGATCTTTTTAAAAGTTTCACTTTTTAAAATTTACTTTTAATGATTTTTAATTTTTATTTTTGGGAGGAGGTAATTAGGTTTATGTATTTTAATGGAGGTACTAGGGACTGAACCCTGAACCTCATGCATGCTAAGCACACACTCTACCACTGAGCTATCCCCTCCCCCTCAGAAATTTCTTTTATGAGTATAATTGTTACCAACCTACACATGAAAGGATCAATGATCCATAAGCTTCATACTTGCCCAGGATCGATCAATAGTTAAACATTTTAAGAAATTTGAAGAACTAAACAAAAGTAATAAACTGGAGAGTTTAGAAACATGCTGGGAGCCAATGTTTAGAAATAATGCACAATGTAAAAATTAAACCAGTTTAACTACAAAATCTAAGAAGGTGCTATTTGGGCTTAACTATAGGGCTCTCATGCCAGGCCGTAACCATATAACCAAATGCCATGAGCAGATGCATCTTATACGGATGTTAGGTGTGGTTTTTAGGTGATTCTTTGATCCTTTATTCATCAATGTTGGAAAGTCACAAAGTTCAATTTCCTCAGTCATTAAAATATTTTTTAATGGCTTCAGGTAGAGATTTAGGAATGGAACAGTTCACAGTTTGAAGGCTTTCATTTGCTATAATAGGTGAATGAAATAGATGCGGGAAAATCCCACAATGGATGGGCAATGCCTAGCGCCGTTTCCATCAGAATTGACCTGACCGTGCCCAGTTTCCCCCATGAGCTCTAAAAACTTTCAGAATTTAGAAACAAGACAGTTATAATGATATTCTTGCTTGATTCCTCTATTTTACAAATCAGAAGGCATAGGCTACAAAAGTTGTATGTCTTGAAGCAGCAATGGAGTGGAGTCCAGGTCCCCTGAGCCCGGCTGGGAGTTCTTCACTGCTCTGGTGAAACAGTCACAGCTCCAAGAGTTCCTAGAACACAGAATGATACCCATGGGACCAAACCCAAAATGACTAAGTTAAAATGGTTAATTCATTCAAGAAGCAGTCATCAATTTCCAGTTAAATACAGCTCAGGGACACTCCCTTGTTTCTTTAAAAGTCCAAATGCAGAAAAAGAGTTTCATTCTCCTGGTGAATAAGGACTTCAATGCAGGGAAGACAGACAGTATCTGAGTTAAGTGTTAATTAACAAACCAGCAGACATACAAATTAAAGTTCTTTTAACAAAATAAACCAGGTTGTGTTTAAAAGAAATCAGAGTCAGGCAAGCAAGTCTTATAATAGTATTTCTTCTCTGAATCCAAGTTCACTACCACTAGATGTATTATTTCTAACCTACTAGTAAGAATAAGACCTACTGAAAATGTAGAATGTTAATAACGTCTCCGTTGGAAAAAAAATTCTAATGTAGCAATGAGGTAGGTTTAACCACTTCCTACTTTTTTAAAAAATTAGTTTTTCTTTGTTCATTCCTACAGACTACCTGAATGCAAGGTAAGCAATCAAGGGTTATGTTAATTTTATTTGCCCTAGTTTGGTCAAATTGTTGCTAGCATAATATTTGGAACTAATTTTTAAATCTCAATAAAGTTTCCTTTAATGATAAAAAAAAATCTATCGTAATCTTGGTCTGCTGAATTCGGCTTGAACAATTTTGAAATGCCTGGCCTGAGGGACCTACAAGGTCTTGGATACTGTACAGGGTCACTTTGCTCGGTCTTCGGAAGCCCCTGCCTTACATAAACCTGTTACCGAACTTGCCTATGGCAGATACATCCTTAACTGAAACCTTTACTGACCTATAGATCTACCTATATAATTATATATGTGTATAATAGACTGATCAATCTGTAATGCAAAAGAAATTCTAAGACTTTGCCGTCAACGCTTGCCACAGCCTACTAACCTATAGATTTGCCCTTCAGGTGTTTCTAGAACACTTGGGAAGGAATCTGAGACAGGGCAGAGGTGAGGAACAGGAGGTAACTTAGGAAACGTCGGAGATCATCACTCTCTGGACCAGGACTGGGTGGCGCGAGAGCCCTAGGGCTGGGAGGGAGGGCGAGTGGCCAGCAGACAGAAGGTCAGAAAGTCAGAGGCAGAGAGCGCGACAGAGGGG